TTGCAAGTATACAGTACAGTATTAGTTAACTATAATCACTGTGAGAGTCCCCAAACTTTTTCATCTTATAATTGAAAGTTTATACCCTTGACCAATTTCTCCCCCATTTTCCTTAGCTCCTGACAACCACCATTCTACTTTCTGGTTCTGTGAGCTGGGATTCTTTGTCCATGGGATTCTCCAGGTGAGAATACTGGAGTGGGTTGCCATTTCCTTCTCCAGAGGATCTTCCTGACCCAGGAAATGAACCCGGGTCTCCTGCATTGCAGGCAAATTCTTTATCGACTGAGCTATGAGGGAAACCCTTAAACCATATGAGGTTGTTGGGAAGATTAAATGCAGTCATCTTTTTAAAGGGCTTAGCATTGTGCTTGGCATCTTGTAAGTACTTAATATGTAAATATTGACTATTTTTTTATTTTTGCTGACATTTTCTCCAACTCAATTGTGTTCTAACTTTTATGTTTTAACTTAGCCATCTTTTATGCATAGGATTATATTAATTTGGGTGAAACAAATGACCAAGGTAACAGTCGTTATCAACTGTAGTTCGTTTTTCCTTTGGCATTTATTCCAGTTGTATCTCATGGAGTATGGTTGAACAAATGATATTGAACTGCCATGTGCCATGTGATAATGATATTTTTAACTGTAATTCCATCAGGAACTTTTGAGCCAGGATCAAGCTTTTGTATTTTGGAGGTTCTTAGAGTCCAGTCAGGTATTTTTAACACTTTGCATTAATAATAAGCAATATTAACATAACCAAATAATTCAAAGAGTCTACCTTAGTAAAACTCTTTGTACTTATGTTCATTATGTCTGTATGGGGAAAAATATTTTTACCGAATTTATACACACAACTGTGATTTTTATATACCACTTTGAACTTGTTTTTAATTTCAAATTTGATTTATTTCAATTTTAACTATGTGTCAAAATTAAATTTATTTTAATTCTATATCAAAATGCTACACATACCACTGTGAATTCTAAATTTTTTTTTGGAATGGCTTGTGCTGGGTCTTTGTTGCTGCATGAGGGCTTTCTCTAGTTGCAGAGAGCAAGGGTTACTCTTTAGGTGCAGTGCACTGGCTTCTCATTGTGGTCACTTCTCTCCTTGGGATCTTAGTTCCTGGACCAGGAATTGAATCCATGTTCCCTGCCTTGGCAGGCAGATTCTTAACCACTGGACTGCCAGGGAAGTCAGTCCCTCATTGTGATTTCTAATCTAGCTTTTAATATCTGACAAACTCTTCTATGTAGATAGAATTTTCTGGTAAGAAGGATAATAAAATTTGCATCAAGAATTAGTTATGAATTATTTATATCATCTTTGAGCATAGACATGTGTACAACTATGTTTTATCATCTAAAAATACAAACTTAAATCTTAAGCATAGAATGATTTCCCCATTATTCCATCGCTCCTCAGCAGTTTTACAGTTGATTTGTCTTCTGTAAGCCTGTAGTAGTAACATCTATTACATCACTTTCCAATTTGTATGACAATATTGGTTCACAAGGCCATTTGATACACACCCACAACAGACAGCTGAATGGATAAATAAATATGATTAGATGAATGAATACTGAGAAGGCAAATTGTTTCTCTGAGTGGTTTGTCCATGAATCAGTAGATACTCCAGATTTGTGTCAGTTCAGTTCAGTTCAGTTCAGTTGCTCAGTCGTGTCTGACTCTTTGCAACTCCATGGACTAAAGCATGCCAAGCTTCCCTGTCTGTCACTAACTCCCGGAGCAAGCTCTAACTCATGTCCATCGAGTTGGTGATACCATCCAACCATCTCATCCTCTGTTCCCTTCTCCTCCTGCCTTCAGTCTTTCCAAGCATCAGGGTCCTTTCCAATGATTCAGTTCTTCACATCAGGTAGCCAAAGTATTGGTGCTTCAGCTTCAGCATCAGTCCTTCCGATGAATATTAAGGATTTGATTTCCTTTAGTATTGACTGGTTTGATCTCTTTGCAGTCCAAGAGACTCTCAAGAGTCTTCTCCAACACCACAGTTCAAAAGCATCAATTCTTCAGTGCTCAGTCTTCTTTATGATCCAACTCTCACATCCATACCTGACTACTGGGAAAACCATAGCTTTGACTATATGAACCTTTTTCAGCAAAGTGATGTCTCTGTTTTTTAATATGCTGTCTAGGTTTATCATAACTTTTCTTCCAAGGAGCAAGAATCTTTTAATTTCATGGCTACAGTCACTGTCCACAGTGGTTTTGGAGCTCAAGAAAATAAAATCTGTCACCTTCCCCATTTTTTCCCTACCTATTTGCCATCAAGTGATGGGGCCAGATGCCATGATCTTTGTTTTTTAAAGTTGAGTTTTAAGCCAGCTTTTTCACTCTCCTCTTTCACCTTCATCAAGGTGAAAGATAGCTCCTCTTTGCTTTCTGCTATTAGGATGGTGTCATCTGCATATCTGAGGTTACCAATATTTCTCCCAGCAATCTTGATTCCAGCTGCCAGGAGTCCAGCCTGCCAGGCTCCTCTGTCCATGGGATTTCCCAGACAAGAATATTGAAATGGGTTGCCATTTCCTTCTCCAGGAGCACTTAGTCTTATAAAGCTATATCCTGGGAATAATTTTTTATTTCCTGCCTCTCCTTCATCAGGCTCATCTACTAGTCACTAATTACCTTTTGATTTTATATCCTAAATACTTGTCATCCTTTTTCTTCCCTCTGCTAATACTGCCTCTGTATGAGTGCAGACATCATTTGTTTGCCATAGTCTCCTAAACCGACTCCCTGTTCTTGGTCTTATAAATGCCTCTAACTCATGTTCCTTGGATAATCTTCATATTGATAAAATGGAATCACAATTTCATTTCTCCACTGCCTACAAGATAAAGGCTGAGCTCCCAGGTCTGGCTTACTATGCTTACCATATGTTTTATTACCTAAGGATCTGTGTTCTGTTATTTTCTCCTAATAAAAGTACAAGAAAACATGAGCAAAACAGAAAGCTTGATGTTTCACAGTTCTGTTTATTGGATGTGATAACCCCTGTTTTGGAATGCCTCCTCAACCAGGCCCCACCCGGCCTTCCTCCTTTGAAAACTAAACCCTGCTCTATGTATGTGCATACTTTTACTGGGACACGTATACATACCATCTCAAGCATAAAATCCCAGTTCAAAAACTGGAATTAAACAAAGCAATGTATTTTTATGCCACTTAGAGTTTAAAGTTTTTAATTCCCAGTCTATAACATCGAAAATACCAGTAAATTCATGGTCGTTCTCCCCCTCGCCACCCACCCCCCCGCGCCTGTACCCCCCCACCCCTTACCACTGTTCTGTGCTTAAATTCTGGGGGAACCTTCACACTACCTAAATTCTGGAGGAGATATAGGCACTAACACTTCATCCCCATACAAGGGGCTTCTTCTGATTTTGGGGTTCTCTTCTTGGCATCTGTGTCTTGCTTGCAAATATCCTCAACATTTTGCTTTTATGGAGACACACTGGAGCTTGAAAATCTTTCTAAGACTTCCTATAGCTCCCCCATTCCAGAATTGTTCCCTCTAAGGCATCTTGCTATCTAGCCCAGATACCCGGAATTTGGACACTAGGTCTTTACTCAGGGACCCAGGGTATTCCCTTTCTTTTAATCTTGTTAATGTTTTGTGCTGGAAGCCTTGTCTTGTGAAAATTTTGCCTCAAAGGTAGGTAATATTTTCTTCAGTGGTTTAGACTTTTAATGGGCTTAGTCACATAAATCTAATAGCTGTCAAATTCCTCCTGCTTAGTCCTGTCCAATTCCCACACTTGAGGTAGGGTGAAAAATAGAATGGTCAGTGGCCCCTAAGGGCTTCCCCGGTAGCTCAGCTGGTAAAGAATCTACCTGCAATGCATGAGACCCTGGTTTGATCCCTGGGTGGGAAAAACCCCCTGGAGAAGGGATAGGCTACCCACTACAATATTCTTGGGATTCCCTGGTGGCTCAGACGGTAAGGAACCTGCCTGCAATGTGGGAGATCTGGGTTCAGTCCCTGGGTTAGGAAGATCCCCTGGAGGAGGGCATGGCAACCCACTCCAGTATTCTTGCCTGGAGAATCCCATGGACAGAGGAGCCTGGTAAGCTACAGAGTCCATGGGGTCGCGACTGAGTGACTAAGAACAGTACAGTGGCTCTTAAACTGAGCAGTTCATTGAATACTCCTGAAAGAGTTTTTAAAATTAAAAACGTTACCACCCCCAATTCTGCACAATCAGAATTTGTTTTTTTAGACGATCACAGATCAAGGTGGAATTTTCGAATCCCCCAGTAATGGGTGTTGGGCAGGCCTCTGCTCAGTCCCTTTTTCCTCAAAAGTCTCCACATTTTTAACCCGATAGCATCTCTTGCTTCCACCTCTCCTTTCTTTGAAGCTGCTCTCTCTTTCCAGCATGGAGAAGGAAATGGCAACCCATTCCAGTACTCTTGCCTAGAAAATCCCATGGGCGGCGGAGCCTGGTAGGCTGCAGTCCATGGGGTCGCTAAGAGTCGGACACGACTGAGCGACTTCACTTTCACTTTTCACTTTCATGCACTGGAGAAAGAAATGGCAACCCACTCCAATACTCTCGCCTGGAGAATCCCAGGGACGGGGGAGCCTGGTGGGCTGCCGTCTATGGGGTCACACAGAGTCGGACACGACTGAACCGACTTAGCAGCAGTAGCAGCTCTTAGCAGCAAGGCTCTCCTATCCCCTCCTCCCCTCCCCTCCCCTCCCCGCCCCGCCCCCTATCCCCGCCCCTTATCCCCGCCCCGCCCCCTATCCCCGCCCCTTATCCCCGCCCCGCCCCCTATCCCCGCCCACTCGGTCTCAGTCCCTCCCTCTCCCCGTCGCCGCTCCATCCCCTCTTCTGTACGCCTCGCCCGCTTTTGGTTCCTCCTCGACATTCTTCCGCTCTGCAGCCTACCTCTTTCGTCTCTGACTTGTGACGTTTTCTCTGCGCCGGAAGAAGGACCTGAGAACGCTTTCGGAGTTATGGCGGCGGTGGATATCCGAGGTAACATGTGTTATCATCCTTGGTTTTCTGATTGTCTGGGGCCTGGTTTAGGGATTTATGGCTCTTGAGGGCAAAATTCTGGTTCCTTTGTGATGTCTGCCAAGCTCTTTTGATTGTTTTTTTCTGAACGACTCGCAGCCCTAATCTGGCGGAAAGCTGCCTAGATTTTCGCAGTTCTTCAGGAGTCTCTTAGAGACGTTAAAACGAAGGCGGTTGGAAGAAGCCTTGTGCTTTGAGACCTGATACTTGCGGTGTTGTTCTACATACGTATCTCTCCAACAGTATTGGTTGGGGCTGTCTATCCGGGTGAAGGAACGGCCTTTGGGTAGAGAAGGGGGTGGGGTAATAAGCCGCCACAGGGTTTGGTTCATCCTTGGGACTTGGCCTGGGGGCCACCTTAATCCTGACGTTTGAGATTCCTTTTTCTTTATTGACCAATTTGGAGTCTGGCACATGCATTGCAAATGTATTGTCATTTATATATTGTCAAAATGTCTAGTGATCTTCAGCATTTCTGAATAATGCTTACTATATGTTTTTCTTTCATTATAAGTGAGAATATCAAGTACCTAATTTCATTATTCGCTTGTTGTCAGCTTTGTTAGGGCCACGTCAACACGCTCTCTCTTGCAATTGAATAAAAAATAAAAAGTCTATCAGACTTGTTTAGTTTTCCACCTGCAACGCGGGAGAACTGGGTTCGATCCCCGGGTTGGGAAGATCCTCTGGAGAAGGGAAAGGCTACCCACCCACTCCATTATTCTGGCCTGGAGAATTCCATGGACTGTATAATCAGAATTGGTGACGTGGTCACATAGGAATTGTAGGCTGTTGTAAGGTCTTTGGCGTTTCCTCTGAGTAAAAACGGAGAACCACTGGAGGGTTCTGACCAAAGAGGATGAACATAATGTAACTTACTTTTTTTTATGATCACCTTGGCTGCTGAAAACAGTGTAGGAGGGCAATGGTGAAATTAGGGAGGCTAGTTAGACGGCCATTTTTGTAATGCATGGGGATTTGGGGATAGCTCAGACTAGGGTGGTAACAGTGGAGATGGTAAGTAGTAGTTGAGAGTCTGCTTGTTTTGGTAGTGTATTCTCTTTATTGTGCTGTGGTCTTAGGTAGTTACTATGTGGGAGAGCTAAGGTATTCTATTTTACACCCAGTTAACTATTTTGTAAATGAACATCTTTGGATACTGGAGTATGTGCACAATTATGATCAGTAGAGTAACTTACCCTTAGCCCTCAATCATGAATTAGTAAACTTTCTAAGTCTTACCAGTCAGATCCTGTGCTAGTTTTGATTAGTAACCCACAGCCCCAGTTTCTTAAAACTGAGTTTATCTTTGTAAACTGTCAGCATTTAATAGGAACACATTTGTATTTGTGGGTTAGTAATAACTAATAATTGAAGTATATAGAAACTGCTATGAGAACATAGAGAAAGAAGCCATTATTTCTACCTTGCAAACTGGAGAAAGACTTTGCAGAGATTTGTAACATTTGAAATGAGTTTAATCTAGCATGACCCTTTGAATTTTCTGGTAAACCTATACCCTTTTGAGAATGAAAGAGGTTTCTATTTTTTCCAAAAAAGTGTATAAACTAGAAAAAAAAAAAGAAAAAAGAGGCCCAAACTAGGACAGCCTTGGTTAAGCCAGAAATAAGGTCAGTCATACTGATCTTAAATGAAATTGACTACCAGCACTACCACCATCATCATCATAATTGACACTGGGTTTTTACAATGTACTAAACCTTTTACATACATATTAACCCCTGTTTTATAGATGAGAAAAGTAAGGCATGGGGAGGTTAACTCGCCTGAAGTCTTATAGTTGTCAATACTTTTTCCTTGTGCCATTCTGCTGTGTGATGGTGAATTGGGGGCAGTGAAGTAGGAATAGTGGAGCTAGATTGTGAAATGCCATGTTAAAGAATTTGGACCTTGTTCTTTTAGACTGTAGATGCACTGCTGTTCTTTAAGTAAGAAGTGACATAATTAAATTTTGCATAGAATATCATGACATATTATGCAGCTCTCACTCAAAAATGTACAAGTTGGGCTTCCCCAGTGGTCGAGTGGTTAATAATTTGCCTGCCAATCCAGGGGATACAGGTTTGATCCCTGGTCCGGGAAAATTCTACATGCCATGGGGCAACTAAGTAAGCCCATGCGCCACAGCTAGTGAGCCGGCGTGCTTTGCAACAAAGAACCCACTGTAGTGAGAAGCCTATGCACCACAGTGAAGCGTAGCCCCTGCTCTAAGCAATTAGAAAAAGCCCGCTCACAGCAAAGACCCAGCAGAGCCAAAAATAATAAAATCAATTAATTAATTTTTTTTTGAATGTATAAGTGGCATTTTTAAGGCTGAATAGGATTGAGAGAAGATTCCTGGAGACAGGAAGCCCCATAAGGAGGCTGCTGTCCAAGTGACACTTGGAAGAAGATTAGATGTGATACTGGCAAAAGGAATGGAGAAGAGGGAATGAATTTGATTAGACTCCCTCTTCTACAGTACAGCACTCGTTGTTCTACTAGTGGTCTCCAAATGTGTAGTATCAGCCCTGACTTCTCTCAGAAATTCTCCTTACTCAGTATTTTGATTTTGAGGCAGACAAGTATAGACGTGTGTGGGCTCTGGAGCTGAGCTGCCTGGTTTTAAATCTCAACTCTACCATTTAGTGATTCTGTGACCTTGATGAGTTAACCTTGCTGTATTTCAGGTTTTTCTTTTGTAAACTAATATTAATAATAGTACCAATCTTAAGTTATTGGGTAAAGTAGTTAGTGTCTGTACTGTTAGTGTTCAAACGTGGTAAATACTGTTCTCTGTATTTATCTCCAGGTCATACTCACCTTACTTTTTATATTTGATTAGTTTACTAAATGAGGAAAATATGACATAAAATTGCTGATCAAGAAATAGCTAGATGAAGAAAATTGTAGAGAGAATTTACTGAACAGTCACTTGGATCAGATGACATTTGTAATTTTCCCTAATTCTGAGAGTCTGGTGCCATATGTAAACTCAGTGTATTCAAGCCAAATTCATTACACCTTCATAAATCATTTACTGGTTCCTAAGCTTGCTGACTTTATATTTGGTCATTCAGAAAATTGTCTCTTTCCCCCCCTAAAAATGTTTGTTTTTATCTTGCTATATATTGCCATTGCCTTCCACTAAGTCCTCATCACCTCATGCCCATATCTATTAACGCTACGTAATTGTGGATAGGAAGAATCTATAATTATACATTTATTTGCTTCTGCAGAGTATTTTTCTGCCTATGCTGAAATGATCTGTGATACTATAATGGTTTGTCAATAACTTATAACACCGTATAGACATAGTTACTATGTAAAGGAGAAACCAACCTCAAATTGTTATTCTGCAAATGCTTTTATATAATTGTTCCTAAGGAAATAAAAAAGAAAAGTGTGAGAAAGTTGATTTAAAGAAAACAACTTTAGTAACTGTACTGTAGTGTTTAAAGCTGAAAATAATGATTATCTTTAGTTGTTTTTCATTGGAAAACCTTTCTTTTTCTGAAAATATTTTTTCCTGGCCTGTTAAATATTTGTTTATGGCATGGTCCATTTATGATGGGCCATCTCAGTGGTCTCTACTGATTATTTGGTCGTTAACATGCTTTATCTATTTTTGCTCCTTTATTTTATAATGTACACAGCATGTTTTACCTTTGTGTAATTGCTTTTTCAATTTGATTCATTTTCCTCTAAATTGCTTGTCACCTTGAATTAGGTCTGACTTCTTTATAGATGCCAGAAATAATTACAGTTTAGAAGAGATTGAACTTTTCAGTTCTACCTCCTTCAACCAGTATTATTTAGGCAGTTTGACATCCATGACTTAACACCCAGTGGGATTTGGTACTGTCAGTGTTATGAAGCATTGCAGCTGCTACCCAATAAAAGCTCAATTAAAGCTGTCTAGCCCTACTTTCCAAGTCTGTCTTTTTGTTTTTCCATTTTGAAAAATGTAAGGTTTAATTCTTTAAAACGTGAAATTGCATGGCTGTAATTAAGGACATTCAACTTTTCATTTGCCCCCTTTACATCATTATTATCTCATCTATAAAAATAGCTTCCTAACGTATTTCTGTCTCTCTAATTGGAAGATCTCAGACTAGTGGCAGTGGCTATGTTTTCTTTGGCATGAGTATTGTTTGAAAATTTTTGAATTAGTTGCCAGCATTATAAAAACTCAGGGTTTCCAATAAAGACTTCTCTAGATTTCAAGTCCTATAACTTCTTCACCTAAACCTTTAATCATATATTTTTATATTTCCCTACCTTTGTATTTACATTCTCTCTGCTTGGAATTGCTTTGCTTCTCTTTTCTCCATGGTGAGCCTCTTATTTATTCTTTAACATATCGTGTTAAAACTCACCCTCTAAAACCCACCTTCTCCTCACCCCATGAAAAATCATTTCTGTTCCCTCAGGTGAGGTATTCTGCTCGCTCCACTGTGCTCTCATAACATATTTATTCACACCTTTATTACAGTTCTAAATGTTGTGTTGTCATTGTTTTCTTGCATACTTATCACTTCTGTTAGACCGTGAGGGTATATAGTTTAGGATCCATGACATTATTATATTCATAGTGCCTCCTGTGTTATATGCATAATAAATTGTTTGTTGGATTGGATTTTTTTCTCTTTTCTCATCCTTTATCATTTTGTTTCTTTTTTTGAAGATAATCTGCTGGGAATCTCTTGGGTTGACAGTTCCTGGATCCCTATTTTGAACAGTGGAAGTGTCCTGGATTATTTTTCAGAAAGAAGTAATCCTTTTTATGACAGGACATGTAATAATGAAGTGGTCAAAATGCAGAGGCTAACTTTAGAGCACTTAAAGTAAGTTGTTAGTCAGAAGGTAGCATCTTTGCCAGCTACAGATTTTGTAATGAATATTTCTTTCCAGCTGTGGATCATGAAGTACAGAGTAGAAGTTTTGGAAGAACCGGAGTTTTGTTTGTACAAGTTTGACATACAAAGGAATTATTAGTAGTCACTTGTAACCTAGGAAGTCTTTTCTTTATAACTTCCTATATTATAGTCCATTTAAAACGCACTAAGAAGTTTAGATGTAGATGTCATTGGTTTTAACAATGCAGCTCTGTTGTCCTTAACCAGGTAACTGTATTTATTATCTCCTCTACATCTGATTTAATGTTTTAAACCATAGTGCAGTTTATAGAAAATTTTTTTGTATGACAAGTAAAATTTTAGCCATACTAATGCAAAGCAAGATTCTTCAGACTTCAGATGCTGAATAATTAAGAATTTATTACTGATACAAAATCTCTGAAACAACTGTGTAATAGAGTTTTTCATCTGTCAGCTATACATGGGGAGAGTGGATTCCAGGTAATGAAATTTCTGGTATTTTAAATAGCATTCATTGTGAGGTAAATATTTACATTTACTGAAGCATCTTGTTGTTGCTTTTAAATATAGTATGTCAGGAGAAAATTTGTTGGAGGTGAGGATAGGTTTGTTTTCTGGTTGGGTAGACTATACAGTAGAGATATATAATTAAGACAGACATAGTGTTCATGTATATTTTTATATTTTATATATATTTGTAGATCTCCTTGGTCAGGAAGCATCATGGGTATTTTAGTTGCCTTTTTTGAAATGTAAGTTCAGGGTACTTTCATGACTGAAAATACTCTAACGTAAGTTCATCATGAATTTTTATAGAGAAATTTTATTGTTGTTTAAAAACCAAATCTTTATCTGTGCTCCACCTACCTGGAACAAGCAGCCAGTTTTATTGAACAGCCAATTTTTAATATCACACATAGACAGTTTTATCCTATTTATACTGTCGCTTCACTTTTATCTAGTAATTGAATGTTGTGCAGAGTGTCTGGGTGGCTTTCATAGGTCTCTGAAGTTTTGTCTCCTGTTTTCAGTCAGATGGTTGGAGTGGAGTACATCCTTTTACACGCTCAAGAGCCCATTCTTTTTATCATTCGGAAGCAACAGCGGCAGTCCCCTACTCAAGGTAAAATGTGTAAACTTCAGGTTTAAAATACCATGATATATTGACTCCTGAGCTGTATGTTCTTATGTTTTTGGGTTGGCTTCTGTTTTAGGGATCTGTGGGAATCCATGTGTAGGCTTCCCATGCTTTCCCTTCTGTGAGGGGCCAGACCAAGTGCACCCTCCTTCCAGTAGTGAATTGCACCCCCACATGCGTAAGATGTCTGCTCAGGGAAGACCCTTGGAGACTCTTGAGTCCAGAATTTTTTTTGAGGCCTGATCATGTACACTTCTTCTGTCTCTCAAAATTCTAGTCTCTCAGAAGGAAATCATGTTTAATTGGTAGATGCAGTTGTACCAGATTCATAAAAGATCAACTGAAAACCCTCATCGACACATTGAACCAAAAGTCTTATTTGGGTTATATTACCAAATAAAAACTGCTTTAGAAATTGTATGAAGAGTATAGAATTCAGACTTGATTTTGAATCAAAAGAGCTAGTCACTCATTCCAGAGATGATCAGCTGCATCTCCTAAATTACATACTCTCTTCAAGATCTTTGAGAACAGCCTTCACCCTAGTGTTGATTCCAGACAATGACTTTGCTAATGAAGTTGTGGTTCCAGAGTCAAGAATCCAAACTAACTTTCAAAATGAAAGATCAGAGTCCCTCCCCAGGGACACAGTTTCCATGATCGGAGGATTCCAGGTACAGAAGTGACCCACGCTGACACTAGCCTCACTAGCAGCTGTTTTATTCCTTAGAACCTTGGACTGGAGCACAGAGCCAAGTTTAGTGCGTCTGATACCTTCATCCTGGACCCTAAATCTCCCGTGCTCTAAGGTCTTATTCTCCAAAGTGTGGTTGACTGACAGCAGCATTGGATCACTTAGGAATTTGTTAGAAATGCATTGTCCTTACTACTCAAGAGTCTTAATTTTAACAAGATACTCAGATGATTCAGATGATCAGTAAGTTTTAGAAGCACTGCTCCTAGGGCAAAAGTTAGCACACTTCTGTAATGGTCCACATCACAAAGACTAAGTATTTAGGCTTTGTGGGCCTCATGGTCTCTGAGACTACTCCACTAGTGCTGTAGCAGCCTTAGATGATGATGCAAATGAAGCGTTGTGGTGATTTTTCTATATAACTTTATTTACAAAAGCAGGAATTGGCAAATCCCACCTTAAGGTTTAATATGGGAAAATGTCAAACTTTAGTTGTTCTTAAGGAAGTGTATTTAGCAGTTTGTGTGCATAGCTGTGTTAATAAACATTTGTTTCTTCCACTGCTTTAGTTATCCCACTGGCTGATTACTATATTATTGCTGGAGTGATCTATCAGGCACCAGACTTGGGGTCAGTTATAAACTCTAGAGTGGTAAGTGTCTTTACATTCTTTAAACATTACAGAAAACTTCTAGCTGAACTACCTTGCTTCCAAGAATTAAACAGGAGCTCCTCTCCCTTGGAATAAAGGGTTGACCATTAGAATGGTCTTAAGCATTGCCTCCTGTGGGCCTGCTCCATGTTCAAAGTATATACCACAGCCCCAGATACATAGTGATTCAGCTTCTGAAAAACAGAAGAATTACTGTCTTTGCACATGTAATACTTTGTAGTTACTTTGTAAATTATGGATGACTGATGAAAAATTCAAAATTGGTTTTCCCTTTATCAGCTTACTGCAGTGCATGGCATTCAGTCAGCTTTTGATGAAGCTATGTCATACTGTCGATATCACCCTTCCAAAGGGTATTGGTGGCACTTCAAAGATCATGAAGAGCAAGGTAGGTGGGACACCTGGACCCTCCTAAAACACTTTTTGTTACTTGGAGGGTGAAGCTGTTTTTCTTTCGAAAAATGGCTATCAGTGATTTCTTGGTGTGTTTTACCTCTTACAGGAAGATTTCATAGGATGATAGCATTGTCAGAGCTAGGTTTCCTATAACTAGATGTGGTAGTCATAGCATTCGCATAGGTACAGCAGGTATAATTTTTAATCTCTTTGGTAAGTGATGTCTTTGATAAGTTGATTCAAAGTTTTAAAATATTTAGAAAACATAAGGGAAATCAATGATGAGGAAAGAGTAATGATGAGATATTTCCTTCTTACCTAACTCTTGAGTCATCTTGAAGCCTGGAACCTAAATCTGAGTCTTTGAACTAGGGGAGATGCTCTTAAAGCTGTATCTCCAGATGATTACCAGTCTGTTTCTGATTTTTCCATATTACCACCTGTTGTGATGCCAGGTGTCTATAGTTTCCATAGCTGTTAATCCACTACTTGTTCTGCACCATATTTTGCCAATAAAAATACTTCTAGAAACATATCTATAGCAGTATACCTATATTCTGTGTTTCTCTTAGAGAAATAGCAACTTATGATGAATTACCATGGAAAAGGTAGCCTTGAAATAAAATTCAGACCCGTGGAATAAAGGGTCTTTGAGATGTAGTTGTATTTATTCTTGATAGTAGGTGTTGGCGACAACATTTGATTTAGGAAAGTTTGCATGAGTTGAATAAACTTCTCCCAAGAGCTCTTTCCCTTAATGAAGTATTTGAAGTAAAACTTAGCTGGAACCCTTCTTTTAGAAACAATCCACCAGCACATTCCCCTCCCAGGGAAAATCCCACACATGATTAATTTCAGAATTTCTCTTGTAAGTTCTTTTCTCTTTTCATGATCTTTTGTTGTCTGGTTTTATTGTCTGTAGTGGATTATAGTCTTCATAATTGAGTATGGTAACTTAAGTTTATGAAAATTACATTTTCCGTTTGTGCCTATTAGGTTTTGTGGGAAAACAAATTTAATACACTTAAAGTAGCTGTAAGATAATTTCAGACATAATCAGAATGTGTTAGACAATTATGGAAAATGTAGCCTTAAAGTTTTTCATAATTAAATAATTGTGAAAACGTAAGAACAGTGTCTATCCATGCTAAAACTTAAATATCTTTAAAAGATATGTCAGTCTTTTAAATGTTAGAATTTTAACCTCATTTCAGAGAGGGAATGTGAATGCTTCTGTCCTTATGCTATGTTTAATGTATTTGGGGGGATTGCCTTTGGAATAGCAGCCGTTAAAAAAAATGAAATTTGAATATATTTGTTGCAGACAAAGATTTATAAAATATAAGGCGCCAAAGTAATTAGTGTTTTAATTTGGACTTCATATTTTAATAGATAAAGTCAAACCTAAAGTCAAAAGGAAAGAAGAACCAAGCTCTATTTTCCAGAGACAGCGTGTGGATGCTTTACTCCTAGATCTTAGACAAAAATTTCCACCCAAATTTGTGCAGGTAATGAGAATACATGTGGTTAATTTTGATTCAGCACTTTTTCCTGACATTTTTATTTTTAAGTAAGAACTGTTTCGGATGTGATCTAAACATACTGATTTCCTCATTAGTTAAAAACTCTGAATCAAAAGAAAGTTTTTCAAGGACTTAATGGAAGAAATGGGTAAAGGGAACCGAATTAATACTATTTTGTGCTCTTAAGTTTAATTCCTCATGGAATCCTCACAGACTGTGAGGCCTGCTTATAGATAATATATTCAGAAGGTTGCTGAATGTCTTGTTAACAAAACTAGAATTTGGAACTCATGCTGTCACTCTGTATGCTACCTTCTAGCCTGAATATGGTGGATATTTAAGTCATTAAATGATAGAATAGCTTAAACTTTTGTAACAGATTAGCACATTTGATGTGGAGGGTTTGGCATGACAAATGGAGGAGGCAGGAGTAAAAATAAATAGGCTTATATCCTACTGGTGTTGAAATTAAAATGAATTCTATTATGTTAATTTGGGTATTCCAACAGCAATAGCAGGTCTACTAAATGAGCTTTGGCAGAGAAGTAGGTGTGAAATGGAATATGTGAACATGTTATTCTCATGATTTGTCTCAGCTCTTATTTGTCTTTACAGGATTGTATACACACAAGGTCATAGATGGGCTTCCTTCGTAGCTCAGTTGGTAAAGAATTGGCTTGCAATGCAGGAGACCTGGGTTCAATCCCAGGTCAGGAAGATCCCCTGGTGAAGGAAATGGCAACCCACTCCAATATTTTTGCCTAGAGAATCCCATGGACAGAGGAGCCTGATGGGCTACAGTCCTTGGGGTTGCAAGAGTCAGATACAAGTTAGATACTTAGACTTAAGGTCATAGATACTGTTTTTCTTGTTGCGGGCCTATTTAAGAGATTTTCAAGGGTAGTTTCTGATTGGAATTTTTCGCACCCTGAGATGACTTTAGAGCAGACGTCCCCTTCCCCCTTCTCTGACTCTACTGGATGAGATGTGCTGTTGAAATGGTGATACGGTTCTAAAGGGAGCAGAGGCCCAGTTGGAACTCAGAACAGAAAAGTCAGTTTAGAGAAATCTCATGAATTACACTTGAAGATGAAACAATGTCAGTTGAATAAATAAGTAAGTGAGTTACAGCTGTATGTAAGATACTGAGTAGTGACTACAGAGTGTAAGAGATTAGGTGTGGTTGACCATTCATTCTGTGAGTACATAGTATATATACTAGGAATGCTGGAGGCAGAACATCTAGACCTACACAGTACAATAGACCCTCAGCATATGTGACTATTGTGCATTTGAAACACACCTAGTCCATATTGAGTTGTGATATGTGTGGAAGACATACTGGGTTCAAGGACTTAGTACATAAAAATATATATAAAATGTCTAGTTTAAAAATATTGGTTATATGTCTAGGATACTATTTGAAATACATTTGGTTAAAAATATTAAAGTTCATCTGTTTCTGGAAATGTGACTACTAGAAAATTTAAAATTACATATATAGTTGCATTTGTAGCTCACATTTTTTTTGGGCAGTGCTGATTTAGAAAAGGGAAATGGAAAATGCAAAACAAGAAACATGAAAAATTATTGATGAAAATATACCCAGAAACCAAGAAAATCCCTTGTTTGTTCTTTTGCTAATTTCCTGAGGTGGAAAGTTATATTTTTCGAGATCTTTCCTTCTTTTTAGTGAAGGGTTTTATTACTGTAAACTTCCCTGTTAGTACTTCTTTTGCTGTCCCCTAAGTTTTGATATGTTATGTTTTCAATTTCATTTCTCTCCATATAATTTCTGATTCTCCTTTTTTATTCCTTCTTTGGCCTGTTGGTTGTTCAGGAGTGTGTTGTTTAACTTCTACTGATAGAGACTAGAAAAGTAATAGAAAGAATCAGTGGTGCACCAGAAACTAATGCAGCATTTTAAACCAGCTGTACTTTGATTTAAAAACAAGCAAACAGTAGAAAGACAAAGGAACAAAGAGCTGCTGTTTTCAAAAGATGAAATTGGCTAAATTTTAGCTAGACTAACAAAAAAGACTCAAATAAAATTAGAGACATTACTACTGAAGCCACAGAAATAAAATGATCACAAGAGACTACTGTAAACAGTTTATATGCCAAGAAATTGGATAACCTGTAAGAAATTCCTCGATACATGACCTACCAAGACTGACTCATTAAGAAATAGAAAATCTGAACAGACCAATAATGAGTAAGGAGACTGAATCAGTAATCTTAAACCTCTCAACAAAGAAAAGTCCAGGAAGAGATGACTTAATGGGTGAATTCTACCAAATATTTAAAGAGAATTAACACCAATTATTCTCAGACTCTTCCAAAAAACTGAAGAGGAGGGAACACTTCCAGATTCATTTTATGAGGCCAGCATTGCTCTGATACCAAAGATACAGACACTACAAGACAAGAAAACTGCAGACCAATATTCCTAGTAAAAATAGGTGCAAAAATTCTCAGTGAAATACTAGCAAATTAGATGCAGTAGCCCATTAAGAGGATCATATATCATGAACAAGAGGGATTTATCCCTGGGATGCAGAGATGGTCCAGCATACCAAAATCAATCATCATAGTACACTACATTATCAGGATGAAGGATAAAAATCACATAATCATCTCAATAGATGCAGAAAAAGCAGTTGGGAAAATTCAGTATCCTGTTATGATAAAAACAAAGGTATGAAAGGAACATACCTCAACATAACAAAAGCCATTTGTAACAGACTCACAGCTATCATATTCAGTCGTGAAGAACAAAGCATTTTCTCTTGGGATGAAAAACAAGACAAAGATACACGTTCTCCATACTTCTGTTCAACACAGTATTAGAAGGCCTAGCTAGAGAAATTAGGCAACAAGAAAATAAAAGGATTCAAATAGTAAAGGAGTAAAATTGCTTGCATGGCAAACCCTAATGGCTCCAGTAAAAAACTGTTAGAACCAATACATGAATTCAGTGACGTTTCAGGATATAAAATCAAAACCCCAAAATCAGTTACATGTCTATATACTAACAACAAACTATCAGTAAAAGATAGCAAGAAAATTCCATTTAAAATAGCATCAAAAAACACTCAGAGATAAACTTTTTATTATCAATTTTATTGAGATATAATTGGTGTACCATGTTGTGTAAGTTTAACATGTACAACCTGTGGATTTGATACACTTATATATTGCAAAATGATTACCACCATAGCATTACCTAATATCTGAGCGCTGAAGAATGGATGCTTTTGAACTGTGGTTTTGGAGAAGACTCTTGAGAGTCCCTTGGACTGCACGGAGATCCAACCAGTCCATCCTAAAGGAGATCAGTCCTGGGTGTTCATTGGAAGGACTGATGCTGCGGCTGAAACTCCAGTACTTTGGCTACCTCATGCAAAGAGTTGACTCAATGGAGAAGACCCTGATGCTGGGAGGGATTGGGGGCAGGAGGAGAAGGGGATGACAGAGGATGAGATGGCTGGATGGCATCACCGACTCAATGGACACGAGTTTGAGTAAACTCTGGGAGTTATAGTGATGGACAGAGAGGCCTGGCATGCTGCGAATCTTGGGGTTGCAAAGAGTCGGACACGACTGAGCGACTGAACTGAACTGAACTGTCATGTCACATAATTACTACTTCTTTTTTATGGTGAGTTTATTTAAGTTTTACTCTCTTGTTGTTCAGTCACTCAGTCATGTCTGACTCTTTGCAACCCCATGGACTGCAGCACTCCAGGCTTCCTTGTCCTTCACTGTATCCTGGAGTTTATTCAGACTCTTGTCCATTGATTTAGTGATGCCATCCAACCATCTCATCCTCTGTTGTCCCCTTCTTCTCCTGCCATCAGTCTTTTGCTGCATCAGGGTCTTTTCCAGTGAGTCAGCTCTTCACATCAGGTGGCCAAAGTATTGGAGCTTCAGCTTCAGCATCGTCCTTCTAATGAATGTTCAGAGTTGATTTCCTTTAGGATTGACTGGTTTGATCTCCTTAATCTTCAGTTCAGTTGCTAAGTCATGTCCGACTCTACGACCCCATGAATCGCAGCACGCCAGGCCTCCCTGTCCATCACCAACTCCTGGAGTTTACTTAAACTCATGTCCATCGAGTCGGTGATGCCATCCAGCCATCTCATCCTCTGTCGTCCCCTTCTTCTGCCCCCAATCCCTCCCAGCCTCAGGGTCTTTTCCAATGAGTCAGCTCTTGCTCTTAGCAACTTTCAAATATATACTACAGTAATATTAGCAGTAATTACCAAGTTGCACATTAGATTCCCAGAACTTATTTTATCTTTTACCTTTGACCAGCATCTCCCCATTTCCCTCACTCCGTCAACCACTGGCGGGAACCACTCTGTTCTATGAGTTTGAATATTTTAGATTCCACATATAAATGATATCATATTTGCCTTTCTCTGTCTGACTTATTCAACACTTAGTATAATGCTCTTTCAGTTCACCCGTTTTTTCACAAATGAGAGAATATCCTTTCTCATGGCTGAATAATATTCCATTGTGTGTTTGTATCACGTAAGTGTCACTGTCACACACACACACATACACATCACGTCTTTATCCTTTCTGTTGACAGATGTATAGGTTGTTTCCTATATCTTAACTTTTGGGAATAGTGCTTTAGTGAACATGGGAATGCAAGTATCTGTTCAAGATATTGTATTCATTCCCTTTGAATATATACCCAGAAATGGGATTGCTGGGTCATATGGTAGTTCTGTTATTAATTTTTAGGGGAACCTCCATATGGTTTTCTATAGTGGCTAACTAGATTTCCACCAATAGTGCACAAGTGTTCCTCCCCTCTTTTTTTTTTAAACATTCTCACCATTTGTCTTTTTTTTTTTTTAATTGGAGTGTAATTGCTTTACAGTGCTGTGTTGGATGATTAGTGATGGTGATCACCTTTCATGTATCTGTTGGTCATCTGTGTATCTTTTTTTGAAAAATACCTATTGAGGTCCTCTGCCCAGTTTTTAACTGAATTGTTTGTTTTATGCTGTTGACTTGTATGAGTTCTTTGTATATTTTGGATATTAACTTCTTATCAGATATGAGATTTGCAAATATTTCCTTCCATTTTGTAGATTGCCTTTTCATTTTCTTGATGATTTACTTTGCTGTGAAGAAGCTCTTTGGCTTGATGTATACAGTCCCACTTGTTAATGTTTGCTTTTGGTGCATTTGCTTTTGGTGTCATACCCAAAAAGTCATCACCAAGACTGATGTCAGGGAACTTACTGTTTATTCTTCTGGGAGTTTTATGATTTCAGGTCTTACATAAAGTCTTTAATCCACTTTGAGTTAATTTTTGTGTGTGGTGTAAATTGACCATATAAACATGGGTTTATTTCTGGGCTCTCTATTTTGTTCCATTGCTCTGTGTCTGTTTTTATTCCAATACCGTACTGTTTGGGTTTCGTGGCTTTGTAATATAGTTTGAAATCTGAGTTGTCTGTACTCCCACATGTATAATTATTGTGAATATTTTAGCATTATTCACAATAGCCAAAATCTGGAAGCAGCCATAGTGTTCATCAACAGATGAATGGATAAAGAAACTGGGATAAGGTCTTCGGGTAAAGATGGCGGAGCATGGTTACAGCTTTTTGCTGACTGCACTCAGCCGGTCTGGTAAACTTGTCCAGATAAGAGTATGCTTTGGCTGCTATAGCTGGAGGAGCTCCTTCAGTGGGAATTAAAGCTGCAAATGGCGTGGTCTTGGCAACTGAGAAGAAACAGAAGCCCATTCTGTATGATGAGCAAAGTGTCCATAAAGTGGAAGCAATCACCAAGCATATCGGTTTGGTGTATAGTTGCATGGGCCCAGATTACAGGCTACTTGAGCACAGAGCTCGAAAACTAGCTCAACAGAACTATCTCATTTACCAAGAACCCATTCCCACAGCTCAGCTGGTCCAGAGAGTAGCTTCCATGATGCAGGAATACATCCAGTCAGGTGCTGTTCGCCCATTTGGGGTTTCTTTACTTATCTGTGGTTGGAATGAGAGATGGCCATATTTATTTCAGTCAGATCCATCTGGAGCTTACTTTGCCTGGAAAGCCACAGCAATGGGAAAGAACTATATGAATGGGAAAGCTTTCCTTGAGGAAAGATATAATGAAGATCTGGAACTTGAAGATGCCATTCATACAGTCATATTAACCCTAAAGGAAAGCTTTGAAGGGCAGATGACAGAAGATAATATAGAAGTTGGAATCTGCAACGAAGCCGGATTTAGGAGGCTTACCCCAACTGAAGTTAAGGATTATTTGGCTGCCATTGCATAATAATATGAATAATGAAGTGACTGAAAATCCAGAATTTCAGATAACTTCTCTACTTAAACATGTTTAAAGTATGTTTTGTTTTGCAGACTTTTTGCATACTTGTACACGGTTTGATGGACTGATGTTTTTAAAATGAGACTTATAAATCATAATAAACTCTTAAATTAACTTCCAAAAAAAAAAAAAGAAACTTTGGGATAGACATACAGTTAAATATTATTCAGTCTTAGAAAAAGGAAATTGTACTATTTGTGGTATCATGGATGAACCTGGGAGATATTGTGCTAAGTGAGAAAAGTTAGTCGCTGAAGGATGAGTACTATATGATTTCATTTATATGAGGTATCCAAAATATTCAGTAGTCAGACTTATAGGTGCAGAAAATGTTATAGTGGTTGCCAGAGGATGAGGAAGAGGAAAATAAGGAGTTGTAAAAAGGATGTAGTTACAGCTCTATAAAGATTAATAAGTTGTAGAGATAGGCTGCATAACATACTGCTTATAGTTAACAATATGGTGTTGTGCATTTAAAAACTTGCTAAGAGGGTGGATCTCATGTTGAGTGTTCTTAGCGTGCACGCACACATACACACAAAACTCCAAACTAAAGGAGCAAAAGGAATCTTTTGGAGGTGATGGATATGTTTATTACCTTGATTGTGGTGATGGTATCACAGGTGTATGTGTATGTCCAGACTCACCAAGTTGTGTATATCAAATATGTGCCATATTTTTGCATATCAGTTATACTGCAATGTACTTGTAAAAAAAAAAAAAAGAACCAGAAAATACTCTGAAGTTTGATCACTCTTACATGTTTTATGAAGGGAAGAGTAGTGAAATATGAGACTTAAAAATTGGATTAGAGTCATATTTAGAAGAACTTTATATGCTCCACAAAGGAGTTTATTGTTAACTCTATAGTCCAGTGTTCAGTCACTATTTTAAACCCATAACCCAAGAGTCATACAGGATATACTCGTTTCAACAGTGAAAATGCAGCAACATGTTTGTGATATTTCTGCCCTAGGAAGTCTGTTAGAGACTTGGTGCCCAGGTTTTGGGAGGTTTTTCAGGTGCCCTTTACCTAACACATGTCGACTTCTTGGGTGGCACTAGTGGTAAAGAACCCGCCTGCAAATGCATGAGACATGAGATGCAGGTTCAGTCCCTGGGTTGGGAAGATCCCCTGGAGAAGGGCATGGCAACCCACTCCAGTTTCATACCTGAGGATCCCATGGGCAGAGGAGCCTGGCAGACTGTAGTTCATAGGGTTGCACAGAGTTGGACACAACTGAAGGGACTTAGCACCTGCACAGCTAGCACATACTAAAATTCCATCACACTCTTTGAAGGAAGCAAAAACAGCATTGTAAATACAAATAGTCTAGGCATAATGAACTGCCGTTATCAGTTAGGAAATGGTGGGAACCCTCCTGAAATCCAAGTTTCCAGATACCAGTCAAAGGCCAGCCTTGCAAGCTCGCCCTTCTAAGGATTGTAGCCTCAGGCCTTCCGTGTTAACCTTTTCTGTACAGTGGGTAATAATGGGGAACTCAGTTTTGGTCTTATTAAGTGTAGTGGTTCCCAGAACTTGTAGTTGGAGTGGGTTGGTAGGCAGTGGGCAGCATGACTCTGGAGCATGTGGTAACAGAAAATTTTGAAGCCTTTAGTCATAGGAATAGAAAAGAAAGCTTAGGGAGGGCATGTAAATTCAGAAGGAAATTCATTAAACAGAGGCATTAAGTGTTCTAGTAGTTAATTAGTTCAGTCACTCAATCATGTCCGACTCTTTACGACCCCATGAATCACAGCATGCCAGGCCTCCCTGTCCATCACCAACTCCCGGAGTCCACCCAAACCCATGTCCATTGAGTCGTGATGCCATCCAGCCGTCTCATCCTCTGTCGTCCCCTTCTCCTCCTGCCCCCAGTCCTTCCCAGCATTATACTTTTATTCTGAGATGACAGGGAAGTATAGAGAAGTATTTCTCATGTATGTATATCTGCATGTAAAGGTATTATAAGTTTGAAGGTAGATAGAAGGGAGAGAGTTTGGGATGTTGACAGCTTCCTTGGCTGATGGTGAAGGGTAGGTTGTGAGCCTTGACGAGGAAGAAGGAGAGGGGGAGGAGGAAGGTGTTTTAAAGTATTTAACTTGGGTAGTGAGATCCCAGAGACAACAGGGCCCACTCAAGTAAAAGAATTGCCGTGCTGAATGAAGGGTTTGATCTTTTTCCTGACTCCTAGTGCCCTCATCATTTTTCCTGCAGTTTGATTTCTAATAGTGCACTCACTAAACAGAAGTCTTATAGTCAGAGAAAAATACCTCTATTTCTTTACTTCCCATACCTGCCAACTTTAAAAATCAGTCATCCAGATTTCATTCTGCTTACTTATAGCTCGTTTCCCCTAAGCAAGTAAGTCTATGGAGTTTTGAAAAGCTCCATTATTCCCTCTCATTGGATTCTCCTTAGCTACTTTTTAAAAATACATAGCCTCGGTGCAGTCACAAAGGACTTTGTTGATGTTCAAGGTTTTTCTTTTTTTAAATGTTTGATTCTTTTGTTCTAGTTTTACATTTGTGTCTTTTCTGAACTGGGGAATAAGAAGTAGAAAATTATAAGTTTACTTTTTATGGTACATGGATAGTAGTTCTTCTTCATGAAGTCATTTATAATTTGCATGCAGGGATAATTTTAATGAAAATTGTGAAGTCAGGAAGAAGAAAGCTTTGCTAACCTTCCCTGTTTTTTATCTCCTTTTCTTCTACCTCCCTCCCCTACTCTTTCTTAAAATGCAGCAAAAGTCTGGAGAAAAGCCTGTCCCAGGTATGGTTCATCTGATAATTATTAAACTTGAAATAATAGTAACTATAACATGTGAGATGAATTGTCATTTTGTCCTTTTCAACTCTCTCTAATGGTAATTTGTTACTCCTAACCTTTGTTTTGATTTGCTGAATTGCCAAAAGATGGTGTTTTTGTGGTAATTATAGTAGTATTTAAAAGATGAATTGGAGTGGGATGAATAGGTATTGAGGATGCATGGAAAAGCTGAGGTGATTTGAGGCTGTATCATAATTTGCTTGTATTACCAGGTTTTGGGTTTTACCAGGTAAAATGAATTGGTTCTTAAACATCTGCATGATTAAACAGCTAAATCTAGAACTTGGGATAAGTAGTTTAAATGAATTTGAGAGTCTGACCCATTCACATTAACCATTGTCTAAACTGGTCTCATCCCTCCACCCACCACCCCCTCCAAAAAATACCTGCTTTTGATGTCTAGTGGATCAGACAAAGAAAGAGGCAGAACCTCTACCAGAGACTGTAAAATCTGAGGAGAAGGAGACTGCAAAGAATGTGCAACAGACGGTGGGCACTAAAGGCCCACCTGAAAAACGAATGAGACTTCAGTGAGTATTGGAGAAGAGAGAAGCTGGCAAGACTCCTCTTGTCCACATTTTACCTCATTACTGTGACAGGCTCTTGAACTTTAAAACTCTTTGTCACAATCATTTGTATAGAATGTGCTTTTTCTTTAAGAAAGGATGTAAGGATGCTTATGCTTTCAACCTAAATATTTTTAATGTATCTTTTGTAACCTTTTCCCTTCTGGACTTAAGCAGCTTCCTGTCTCACATGTTTACTGCTATATATGTTTAAAAACAAAATAAAGGTATTTGTATAAATTACTTTATCTTGACTCCTTCCCCCCACCTCCATTTTCCCTCTGAAATATTTCCAGGTACATTTTGCGAACACAAAGGATTTTTGTTAAAGTAGCAACTAAGCTGATTTTCTATTCTTAGTTGCATATTCCTCAGTATTAAAATAGTAAAGTTACTAACAATGTGAAAGATAAAGGGAAAAAAAAAATAATAAAAAAAATAAAAAAGATAAAGGGGAAACAACCTTATTCACCGAAACCACTGTCTCACAAATACCGTAGCAATGTTGTGAATTTTTCTTGTCTTCTTTTTCTATGTGTAGATTCTTTTTTTTTTTTTTTGCTTCACTGCGTGGCATGGAAGCATGCAGTCTTAACCACTGGACCACCAGGAAAGTTCCTGTGTGAGATATTTTTAAAACAATAGTTAGTAATTTTTCTGTTCATACTGTTTTACTTTATCATGTTTTGTCTGTTGTATGCACTATGCCATGGTTACCTAGTTTTTATAGACTATTTATAGTTTATTGACTGAATAATTCCTGTGAATGATTGTATGTCTTTCCTTAAGCTCTCCCTGTGTTGTACTTAAGTTTTTCCCAGTTTGCATTATTTAAATAAGACTGTAGTGATTTGGGGGCTTCCAGGTGGTGTTAGTGTTAATGAACCCACCTGCCAGTGCAGGTTAGATGCAAGAGACACAGGTTCAATCCTTAGGTCGGGAAAGTCTCCTGGAGGAGGACACAGCAACCCACTCTAGTATTCTTGCCTGGAGAATCCCAGGATCAGAGGGGCCTGGCAGGCTGCCGTTCATGTGGTCGCACAGAGTTGAACACGACTGAAACAACTTAGCACGCACGCACGCACACAGTGATTACATTTAGCATTTATTTCCTTAGTATAGACTCACAGCAGTAGAATCCCTAGAATCTGTACTTTTTTGTTGTTGTTAGTCCATATTGCCAGGGTGTTCTTCGCAAAGGTTTTATTTTGCTGTTCCAGTAGTAACAACATACCACTTCCATTGCTGGTGGTGGTAACTTGGAATACTTAGTTAAGGTAGTGTTTGTCAGGTACTCCACTGTAATGTTAGAATTTTTCTTTTCATCATTTTAAGTATCATGAGGTGGGGGAGTAGTGTGAGGCTCTGTAAATACCATGTTATTCCTCAAAACTTTTACTGTCCAGCAGCTTTCATTGATCATTCTTACCTGAATCATTTATTACTATTACGGTTGCCAGATGGTGGTTTTCTAATTTCTTCTTTCTTTCTGTGTTTATTACTTGGCTTTCTGTTATAAAAGAGCTGCACCCGCACCGCCCCCCGCCCCCCCCCCCCCCCCCAACGCCAGTACTTATTTGTTTATATCACTATAGATGCCTGGAATCTCATTTGTTCAATGTGTTGTATTTCTTCACTATCATTAATTTATACTGATGCTCAAATTGTCCTAGATTGGGCCAATGGGAACTGGTTCAAACTGATTCCTGTGGTCCTTTTGACATAATCCTGTCATTCCTTGAGTATCTTCTTTTATGTTTTGGCACAATAAGATACCCCAAGTTCATCTCAGAAACCCTAGAGTCAGCCATTTCTCTAAGGATCCCTCCTTCTTTTTAATAGAGGATATATTTGGAAATCAAGATCTGTGTGCTCGGTGTGTGCATTTGCTACTGGGGTGCCATGGCTTCTGGGCTCTTTTAGCTGATAGAGTTAAGAAATAGATATATACTGGGACTTCTCTGGTGACCTGATGGTTAAGACTCTGCTGCCATTTCAGGGGGCATGGGTTCGATCCCTGGTTCTGGAAGGAAGATCTTGCATGCTGCATGGCATGGCCAAAAAAAAAGAAAGAAAAGGATTGTGTATGTGTGTGTGTGACATGAATGAATACACGTACGTCCACACACGTATCAGTTTATTCTGTATATATTAAAAGCTATCCCAAAAATCACTGCAGATGGTGACTGCAACCATGAAATTAAAAGACACTGCTCCTGGGAAGGAAAGCTATGACAAACCTAGACAGCATATTAAAAAGCAGAGATAGCACCTTGCTGATAAAGATCCATATAGTCAAAACTATGGTTTTTCCTGTAGTCATGTACTTAGATGAGAGTTGGACCATAAAGAAGGCTGAGTGCCAAAGAATTGATGCTTTCAAACGGTGATGCTGGAGGACTCTTCAAAGTTCCTTGGACAGCAAGGAGATCAAACCAAGCAATCTTAAGGGAAATCAAGCCTGACTATTCGTTGGAAGAACTGATGCTGATGCTAAAGCTGAAGCTCTAATACTTTGGCCACTTGATGTGAAAAGCCAACTTTGGGAGATAGTGAGGGACAGGGAAGCCTAACTTGCAGCAGTCCATGGGGTCACAAAGAGTCGAACACAACTAGGTGACTGAACAGTACCACTACCACCCATCTTATGTATCTTGTTGAGGCTGAAATTTGTATTTCCTGGAGATTTAGTGATGTTAATTAAGCATTCTTTCCTGTGACTGTTGACTGTTTTGAATATTCTTTTTTGTGAAGTGTGTCCATTTTTGTGAATTATGTTTTGTCTGTTTGTCTCCCAAAGTCAGAAGAGTCCTTTGTGTGCATGGACAAGAGTCCTTACATGTATTGTTTTTAAATGTATTTTTAAAGCCAGAGTGTAAGTCCACCCGTGTTTGCCTTCTTACCGTTTAATGGTGACCTAAAAATGATCATGAGGAAAAAAGAAATGATCATGAGAAATGCTGGGCTGGAAGAAGCACAAGCTGGAATCAAGATTGCCGGGAGAAATATCAGTAACCTCAGATATGCAGATGACACCACCCTTATGGCAAAAAGTGAAGAAGAACTAAAGAGCCTCCTGATGAAGGTGAAAGAGGAGAGTGAAAAAGTTGGCTTAAAGCTCAACATTCAGATCATGGCATTCGGTCCCGTCACTTCATGGCAAACAGATGTGGAAGCAGTGGCTGACTTTAATTTTTTGGGCTCCAAAATCACTGCAGATGGTGATTGGAGCCATGAAATTAAAAGACGCTTACTCTTTGGAAGGAAAGTTATGACCAACCTAGATAGCCTATTAAAAAGCAGAGACATTACTTTGCCAACAAAGGTCCATCTAGTCAAGGCTATTGTTTTTCCAGTAGTCATGTATGCATGTGAGAGTTGGACTGTGAAGAAAGCTGATCGCCGAACAATTGATGCTTTTGAACTGTGGTGTTGTAGAAGACTCTTGAGAGTCCCTTGGACTGCAAGGAGATCCAGCCAGTCCACCCTAAAGGAGATCAGTCCTGGGTGTTCATTGGAAGGACTGACGTTGAAGCTGAAACTCCAATCCTTTGACCACCTGACGTGAAGAGCTGACTCATTTGAAAAGACCCTGATGCTGGGAAAGATTGAGGGCAGGAGGAGAAGAGGACGACAGAGGATGAGATGGTTGGATGGCATCACCGACTCAATGGACATGAGTTTGGGTGAACTCTGGGAGTTGGTGATGGACAGGGAGGCCTGGAGTGCTGCATTTCATGGGGTCGCCAAGAGTCGGACATGACTGAGCAACTGAACTGAGCTGAAAAATGATCAAGTGTTTCTAATTTTAGCGTAGCTTAGTTTGTCAGTCTCCTCCTTTATTAATGCTTTTTTGTGTCTTGTTTGAGGTTTTTCTCTACATTGCAGTTATGAAAATGAACTCTTCTGATTATCTATAAGCTTCATTATTTTGCATTCTCCAAGGCCTGTAAAGTCACAATAGGGAGGAGCATACTCCAATCAGTAGTTGCAATGTCTTTTATCATTGACTACTCCTCTGTTAATGGCATTTCTCTAATTTACAGAGTTGAAGGTCAAATAACTGACACATCTCCTTCTTATACACACTTTGCCTGGAGCACACAGCGTGCCATCTTTTACTCCTCCAATATCAACTGTACCCTTCCTGAAGTGGTAGCTGGCTTCCCGATACTTGATACCTTTAGCAGTGTTATCTCAATTATGGCATTGTGTTACTTTAGATTGGGAATTGTTTATATATTCATGCTGTACTCTTTCACACAAAACATTTGAAGGAAGACATCTTTTGTATGTTGAATTTCCACACCTTATTGGCCTCAACTATCTCCTTGTGCATTAATTGTTTTGTATCAGCTCAGGGGGCACTCCTTACCATTTGATCAAAAATGTATTGACCTTGTTTATTGTGGTTGTTACACATTTTGTAACACAAAATGTCACCACAAGACATCCCATCCTGCACAAAGAAATCGTCAGGGTGTCACCTTAACCTCCATTGTACCACTCAGGAAGGTTACATTCTTGTGCTCTACAGAGCATTCCAAGAGAAGCAAACTTACATTTTACATTGCAAGATCCAAAAGCAGCCTGCCCAAGGTTTCAATTTGCAAGAAATATACAAGGATCCTTTCTGCACTGACATTCTGATCCACAGTCACAGCATACTTTTTCAACTTCCACTTTCTTGTTATGACATTATTCTGATGGGTGATGTTTTGAGAAGCTGGTGTATTCATCACACAGAGTACCTTGTAATTAATGAGGTTAAAGTAACTTCCATAGCAGCAGTTGCCAGAAGCACTGATACTTGTATTATAGGCATTCATGATGCAATGTTTTTTCTCACATAAACAGAATTCCTATGTGTAAAACATACCAAGATTATGACCCTTGTTGAACAATGACCACTGCAAAATGAAAGCAATTGATTTACCTTTGAGGCATTTATAAACTGCTAGCCCAAAATGATGGTAGCATATCCCTGAGATTCAAGCCAACTTAAACACATTAGAAAATCCTCGCACACAAACAGACGCCCAGAAACGTGGCAAACGGGGGTAGAGATGGACACTCAGTTCACTTGAAGCTGTCAAGGAGTTGACTCATGTCTTGGTTGACATTAATAAGATTCCCGTGGCTCCAAACCTCAGTCCCAATTACAGAAGCGTGAAGGCATAGCTGTAGACAGATTGGATCTGTTACATTAAGCACACTTAATGTATCTTCTGTGGCCTTGGAGACATTTGAGTGATTGAAACTGTGATTGCCCACCACCGTAAGCACACTCCACAAGGGCCAGTGAGTCCAGCGGCCGAGGGAATGGCAGTTTTGTGGCATTGTGGCAGTTTTAGACTCTGCCTTGAACTCCAGCTTCTGACATAGTCATTTCCTCCTTGAAGCTGCATTTCATGAGAACTGACCCTTGTTAGCATCTTATCTAACAACTGGTGTTCAAATGTGGTAGAGTGCTTCAGGGCTCAGTTTTGTAAGTGAGGTCATTTATCTGTGGCATCCCTCGAAAGGTTCCCCAGTGCTGGACAGCCAGAGAATTGGGAGCCCTTTCACGTAACCATGATAGTAGCAGTTATCCCAGATGAAGGGCTAATTCTCTTGGAACCCACCCTGCTCCCTGTAGTTGTCTGGAAACCAAGAGCTTCTTAGGCTGTAGACGAATGACGGGGGTGCAGCTGGAGGCCAGACCCTGAGCCACCCTCGAAGGCTGCACGTGCGCAGGGGACATTGGGGAAGCCCCACTTTGGGTGGGCCCTGGTGCCAGTTGGGCCGGATATGCGCGGAGCCTGCGGGCGGGCCAGGAGCACCTGCAGCCTGAGCCGCCGGAGGGCGCAGGTGCAGGCACCTGGCCCCACCGCTGTCCATCATGGGTGGCCTTTCGGAGAGTTACAGCGCAGCTCTCTGCGGTCTTGGGAAGGTGGGTGATGGAGACTTGAGTACAAAAATTTGCTTCCTAAGCAAACCCTCTTTCAAGGCGAGAACCCAGCTTGCTGGGTTGGGCGGCAGCCGCCCTGGCCCTGAGGAAGGGGCGGTTCCTCAGTGCTGGTCCGTTATAAGGAACTGCAGCTGGGGTTCCAGGGTCTGAAAGCTGGCCAGAGGGAGAAGTACAGGGAAAAAGAGTGAGAACAAGAGGAAACTGAGCAGGCAACTGAAGCGGCTGGGAGGGGAGGAGTGAGGAGGTGTAGGGAAGAGAGCAGCAAAAGGGTACGCTGGGGTGAAGGGAATTTAATTTGGAAGAGAGAAGCTTAGGGGGTCAGCATTCTGGAAGAGGCTATGGAAATTGAGAGATCAAGCCTGTTTCACTTCTTGGTATTGGTCCTGAACAAATAGGCAAAACTAATTTTCAGTAACTTGTTCCCACCATGGGCTGATAAAATTTTACTAAAGCCAGCTGCTGACTGTTCCTAAAAGGGATATAACCTAAGTCTGTTTCCGTGAGGAAGCCTAAGAGGGTATTAACTGCATTTTTGCTAAACTCCTTCAGTAAAGAGTAAATAGCGTGTGTGTATATGTGAGAGAGAGAGAGAGACAGACAGAGCTAATAGTTTAATACAGTATAATTTTTCACCCCTTTAAATTTTGTTTTAATGAAACAGCTTTATTGCAGTTTGTTTATTCTATAGTGAACTACTGTGTAACTGCAGCAGAGCAGAGTGGGCACAGCTCCTAGCAGGCAGCCATTGCTGTGCCTCACTAGTCTGCACCCTGTAACTAAGGCGACGGGTCTTGCTCAGCCGTTGCTCGGGGTTCTCAGTGGGCCCTGCCACTTGTATCTCAGTGAGGGACCATTGGGGAAAGTGATTCAGTCAATGGTGCGTGGTGTGGTGGTCATCAGGTGGAGAGTGAGGTAAGAGGCAGAACCAGGCCTTCTCCTGGAGGGCCTCCAGCTCACCCAAGCCTTGGGCCAGCAGGTGAGCTGGAGGGCCCAGGGAACAGATGGCCCTATTTCCTGCAGGGCTCCAGGGCCCTCACTAAGGCCCTCCACTAGCCTTGGTCCAGGCCTTGAGGCAGCAGTGAACCCCTTCCCCCATCCCTGTCTCTGTGACCTAATAGTAGTGGCCATCTATCTGGTCATAGTCTGTGAGACCTGGTCTCCCCATTTGGGCGGTCTGAGGAGACTGAGGGGCAGTTGAGCTGGATGCCTGGCTCCCTCAGGCATGACAAGTGGGCAGGATGTGGGTACCTGGCCCTGAAAGAGCCGCCAACTGAGATCCGCCGCCTCTTAGCCAGGGCTGGGACCTTGGAGGGTGAAAGTTGTGCCTTGGGACTTTGCCCTTTCTGGTCAGGACAGAGAGTAACATTCATCTGGTAGAGATTTACAGGAACATAATTACCTGACCGTGACCGGACCTCAAGAACAAAGCACCTGACACCGAGAAGTCTGCAGTAACTAACCACACCCATCCCTCACCTTTGGCTTTTACATGGACTTGCTGGAAGCTTTCAGTAACTTTGAGGTTCTCAGTGCATGAGCCACCCATCTCTTTGTATGAATCTGTAAAGAACCTTTCTCTCTTCCAAACTCTAATGTTTAGTATTGATGGGCCTCACTGTATGTTGGGCACACAGACTTGTGATTTCTGTAATATAACTAGCTAAATTTTTATATATGTGTACATCCCTGAAACCACCATGATTTGCTATCTGTTTTCCGGTCAATAGGTGGACATTTTTTTCATTTCCACTTTGACTATTAAACAAATAAAGTTGCTATGCACCTCCATGTATATATCTTTGTATGAACCTGGGCTTTCTTTTCTCTTGGGTAAAAACTTGAGAGTGGAATGTCTGGATATATAGTAGTTGAATGTTTAACTTTTTTAAGAAACTGCAGAACTGTTTTCCACAGTGGTTGTAACATTCTACATTTCCATCAGCAGTATATATGTAAGAATTCTAATCCCTCAGCATCTTTACCATCAGTTGGTATGGTCAGTCTTTTAAATTTTAGCCGTTCTAATAAGTGTATAGTGATATACATTGTGGCTAATTTTGCATTTTCCTATTACTAGTGATGTTGAGCATCTTTTTCTGTGCTTATTAGCCTTCCATGTACCTTCTTTGGTAAAGTATATGTTCAGATCTCTTGCTTATTTCTTGAGGATTTGTTTCTTACTGAGTTTTGAGGTTTTATTAAAAAATATATTTTGAATAGTCCTTTAGAAAATGTACATTTTAAAAATATTTTACCCCACTCTGTGGCTTGTCTCTTAATTATCTTAATAAAATATTTTAAAGAGAAGCTTGTAGGTTTAATGAAGTTCAACTTATCACTTTGTTCTTTCATGAATTTTTAATTCACTGCCACATCTAAGAAATTATTGCTTCAGCTGTCAGTTTAAAAGATTTCTCCTGTGTTTGCTTAACAGAAGTTTTATAGTTTTTGGCTTTACATATTGGTCTGTAGTCTATTTTACACTATTTTTTGTATGTGATGCAAGATATGAAATTAAGTTCTTTTGTTTTCCATTCAGTTGTTCCAGCACTGTATATAAAAAGTCTACCCTTTCTCCAGTGATTTACCTTTGTCAAAAATCTGTTGCCATATTTGTGTGGGTCTATTTCTAGTCTTTCTGTTCTGGTCTATTGATCTGTCTATTATTAATAGTTTTAGAACACCCAAAAAAGATGTCCTTTTCATTATAGGGGACTGGGATGCAAAAGTAGGAAGACAAGAAACACCTGGAGTAACAGGCAAATCTGGCCTTGGAGTACAGAATGAAGCAGGGCAAAGGCTGATAGAGTTTTGCCAAGAGAACACACTGGCCATAGCAAACACCTTCTTCCAACAACACAAGAGAAGACCCTACACATGGACATCACCAGATGGTCGGCACTGAAATCAGATTGATTATATTCTTTCCAGCCAAAGATGGAGAAGCTCTATACAGTCAGCAAAAACAAGACTGGGAGCTGACTGTGGCTCAGATCATGAACTCCTTATTGCCAAATTCAGACTTAAATTGACCAAAGTAGGGAAAACCACTAGACCATTAAGGTATGACCTAAATCAAATCCCTAATGATTATACAGTGGAAGTGAGAAATAGATTTAAGGGACTAAATTTGATAGACAAAGTGCCTGATGAACTATGGACGGAGGTTCGTGACATTATACAGGAGACAGGGATCAAGACCATCCCCAAGAAAACAAATGCAAAAAAGCAAATCGGCTGTCTGAGGAGGCCTTACAAATAGCTGTGAAAAGAAGAGAAGCCAAAAGCAAAGGAGAAAAGGAAAGACAGACCCATTTGAATGCAGAGTTCCAAAGAAAAGCAAGGAGAGAGAAGAAAGCCTTCCTCAGTGATCAATGCAAAGAAATAGAGGAAAACAATAGAATGAGAAAGACGAGATCTCTTCAAGAAAATTAGAAATACCAAGGGAACATTTCATGCAGAGATGGACTCAATAAAGGACAGAAATGGTATGGACCTAACAAGCAGAAGATATTAAGAAGAGGTGGCAAGAATACACAGAAGAACTATACAAAAAAGATCTTCACGACCCAGATAATGATGATGGTGTGATCACTCACCTAGAGTCAGACATCCTGGAATGTGAAGTCAAGTGGGCTTTAGGAAGCATCACTACGAACAAAGCTAGTGGAGGTGATGGAATTCCAGTTGAGCTATTTCAAATCCTGAAAGATGATGCTGTGAAAGTGCTGCATTCAATATGCCAGCAAATTTGGAAAACTCACCAGTGGCCACAGGACCAGAAAAGGTCAGTTTTCATTCCAATCCCAAAGAAAGGCAATCCCAAAGAATGCTCAAACTACCACACAATTGCACTCATCTCACACGCTAATAAAGTAATGCTCAAAATTCTCCAAGCCAGGC